TGTAACGGAATACAGTTACTCATATTTTGTATTTTAAATACGTAACGGCGGTACATGTATTCCGTTACTCCCCAACACTGCTCATGGGAGAGTTCAGAGGAGAAAAACACAGCTTTTTAGATCTCACCCTGGGTCAACACACCTGAATCAAATGATTAGTTCATTACCAGGCCTCTGGAGAACTACAAGACATGTTGAGGAGGTAATTTAGCCATTTGAATCAGCTGTATTGGATCAAGGACACGTCTAAAACCTGAGGGACATCGGCCCTTGAGGCCTGGAGTTGCCCACCCCTGTGATAGTGTGATGTTGTGGGGCTGCTTTGCTACTTCAGGACGACTTACCTTAATTGATGGAACCACAAATTCTGCTCTCTACCAGAAAATCCTGTAGAAGATTGTCAGGCCACTGGTTCATGGTGGGCATTACTCAGGTTATGCAGTAGGAAAATAATGCAAAACACACCAGCAAGTCCCCCGCGTCCCTGAAAAGGATAAGCAGAAGCGAATGGATGGATGGACACCAGCAAGTCCACCTCTCAAAGTCTAAAAAAGAACAAAAAAAAAAAGAAGTCCTGGATGGCTGAATTAGAATAATTCTGCAAACAACAGTGGCCCAAAATTCCTCCACAGTGATGGAGTTATCGCAAATACTTTATTGCAGTTCTTGCTGCCAAGGGTGGCACTATCAGTTATCAGTTATTATGTTTCCATGGTTCTAGGGTGGATTGGATAATTCTTTCCCTTCGTAAATTCAATCATCTTTTAAAAAATTGGTTTTGCATTTACTCAGGTTATCTTTGTGTAATATTAAAATTAGCTTGACAAGGAAAATGTAAGCGTGATAAATATGACCCCTTCAAGAAGGAGGCCAAATATTCATTCACACCACTTATATTTATAAGTGCTTTTCACAGACAAGACTCATGAAAAGCCAGTCAATCAATCAATACTTTACACTTATTCCTATTATACAATTAATGCAATGCAAAGTTTTGTACACATTAAAAGCAGAAAATAAACAAAAATACAAACACATGCACACCTTTCACCAAACCCTGCCGTCATACCTCCGTCCCGACACCCAAACGAGCCCACTAATGCAGTCTGTACTGTACTAGGAAAACAAAAAAAAATCGTATCATACCAATCATAATCATATTGCATCAATTTAGTTATAAAGATATCATTTTAATCACCTGTGGCATAGAAAACCTTTTTAAAATTTTTGTTTTGTTGCTGGCTGGCATCAGCTGTTCAGCGTGCAGCTGTTCTGCTGTTGTGACAAAGTGAACATCTGCATCATCGGTATCGTCAGGGGAAAGGCCAGACACATACAGAGTATTCTCCAAACGCAGAATCTAGCCTGCATCATAATGAAGCAGATGTGAGCAGCAGTGCGCTGCACAAAACATGATACTGTTGTAAGAACAACAACAACAAAACGACAATTCATAGAAGCAAGGAAGAAAAATAAGAAAAATGGAGAAAGCAAAGAGAAGACGAGAATCATGGTACACAGTGTTAGCAGCACATTATGAAAACAGACACCACAAGGAAACAACATGTTATCAATGGTGGGCAGAGTACATGCTTTATTTCTGTATGCACCACCTGCTGTGGCAGATTAGAAAATTATATCGCTGTTTTTAGAACCTTGGAGCAAGAGGCTATGAATACTGTGCAGCTGCTATATGCACAAACATGCATGTGCACATCCTGGCTGAGGCGATGCAAACGCACACAGTAAGCAATAGAATGAAATGAAAAACATATGTTGCATAACACATGTATAAACGTGATTATGCATCTGCGTGCGTATGTGTGTGAATGTCACTGCATGGGCATGTATGCGTTGCTATGTAAATCTATGACTGCAGGCTCTGTGCATTACTGCGGCCAGATGTGATCAATACGCTCCTCTATCATAGGTCAAGTGAGGCCTGGTTTGTACCCTGCAGGTAAAGATAAAATTCTCACTGCATGCACGCTGTAACAACCTTTAAACAACAAGTAAAAAAAATAACAACTGTACATTTATTTTAGCCACAGTTTACGGCATATGATATTTTAGCTTTACATAACAAAACCAAGGAAGCATTTCTTTTTAGTTCTTCTCATAATAACAAGTTAAATTTTGCTAATACAGAAAAAATACAGCAGGACTGTAAAAGCCCCTCATAATGTATAAGAAAGGCAAAAACCATCAGAAAAATAACCATTGTCCTATAAGAAGACACATTACAAACACTGACTAACAGGGTGTGATGTGTACACGTTTCTTATGAAGGCATCAATCATCTGCTGGCAATTTAAATTGCCATTTGGTCCCTTAAACTCTGAAAACCCCTGGCTTAGACTATGCAGCAGCCATAGTACTTAATAATTTGTGTTTGGCATATGGGATGAAGTATGTAAATATATTCATAGATTGAGCTGTGCCAATCTACACAGCTGCAAATAAACAAATAAGCAGCTGCTTTAATTTGAGGTCCTTCCAAGTGCTTGAGCTCTTCCAACCTATATTTAAGGGCGAGGAAAGGCCCCCATCAGAGGATGCCAATTTCCGTTTCTTGTATCTGCGGTCTTCTTTTTTCTGTAACTATCCACAGCTACCAGCTACAGATGAGGATGGGAACAGATCAATTAGGAGAATCCACAGTGGTGCTAACACTCCGGGGTATTGAACTCCTCTGCTTGAGGCAACTGCTAATACCCAAGTCAGAAAGGGCAATCAATCACTTATTTCACTTGCAAATTTGTTTCTCCAAATGAAATTACTGCTGTGGACGAACACAACAGTTCCAGATTTTGGAGATTAATTTGGCAAACAGACAAACAGAATTTTGGCTCAGATTTCAGGTCTTTTCTGGCTTCATATTACAGGTTTTTATATCAGCTGTGTCAAGGCTAGTGAAGCGGACTCAGGCGCAGACCACTCGTTCCTTCAAACAAGAGTGGATTTATTTACAGTGATTCCCACAGGTGCAATATATATACAAAGGTGTTCGGGAAAAGGGTCGGGGTTCGGGGTCCAGGAGTGACAGGGGAAGGAGTCCAGGGTGGGGGCTTTCCATACACAGACAACAGCTCCTCTCTTCACCACCACTCGTCTTGCACACGCTCAGTCACAGTTGCTCAGGGTCCAGGGTAGATCTACACACATATAGAGAGACAGTCAGCTTCCAGGTTCAGAAGTACTCACGAGTTCAAATTACAGGTTTGCAGGGCGACTGACGCTGATGGCTCAATGATCCAGCGACGAGTAGAGCAGACTCGCCATCTTAAGTAGTACTCTAATTTTCGTAATCAGCGGCAGGTGTGCTGATCATCCCCAGGTGCGTGGGCCAGGGGCGGGAGCCCATACTGAGCTCCGCCCCGGCAGGAGAAAGAGAGAGGGAGAGGACGAGAGAGAAAGAGAGCAGAGGCAAGAGAGGAGAATAAACAACACAAAACATAGCGCCTGACTGCTGTCAGCTGGCGAGGTGCGGGGACCATGACAAGCTGAAGTGAACAACATATTATTGCATTACAAAGCATCAACTTGCCTCTTGTTTTTAAACTAGTTGTTCACTTTTTTTTTACAATCTGAGCTCTTTATAAGCACGACAGACCAACCCATTCAGAAAACAACTTAACTGTGTGGAGACATCAGTGGTGTTGGAGGGTTTTTTTTGAGTTGCCACTTCTATTTGGGGACTTTTTGCTATGAGGCTCAAAGGAATCATTTTGGTGCAGAGTGACCTCACTGTCTTATGTTTGGCGCCTTTTGTTCTGCCTCTGCCAAAAGCCTCAAGTCAGCCTGGCTGTTCAGTGTGATCCCTTATCTGGGGCCAAGCTACACCAAGCCAACTTTATTAATAAAGCACTTTAAAAAACAGCTAGCACTGATAAAGTGCTATACATAAAATGAGAAAAAATATGGAGCAACGCATAAAGAAAGCTCCCGGTGGAAGGATAAACTTCAGAATGGGATGAGCACTCCTGCAGTAACGTGTGCTCATCTTTCTTTTTTATTGATCTAGAACATTTCCATAACAGATTTATCTCTTCATTTATACTTTAAATTTCCAAAAGGGTTATTTCTGCTTGAGGAAAACCTGGTCTCGCCAGTTTTTCCATTAGAGTTGGAAGTAATGGATGGTTTCTTTGACCACAAGGCTTTGTTATTGAAATGACCCACTGCAAAGTCATGAATTTTTCTTCTCCACAAGACAAAAGATCAATTCTTTTCACTGACCATTACCCATCTCCCCCTTTCTTCTTCTTTCTTTCTGTCTTTATTTCTTTCGTACAGTCTGGATATTCTGTGCAACTCCCAGGTGCACAGCAGAGTTTAAGCAGCATGCAGCTGAAAATAACCAGAGAAAAAGAGCATCTGAAAGGCTCACTGCATTGTTTCATAAAGGTTAGACAACAAAGAGTGTATTTTAAGGTCTGAGAGAAAAGCTGAGATGCCAGGCAGAGCGAAAAGAACAGAAGAAAAACATTTCAGAGACCTGGTAACCATAGCAACAACTGCCAGGTACAGTGGCTTCCTAATCATCTAGCTGATGCAAAACAAAATCAGGGAAATTGGATGAGATGAAGGAAAGGACAGAGATAAAAGCAGATGCAGTGGAAAACAAGTGTATGGTAAAAAAAAAAAAAAAATGTAATTTGTTTTTGTTTTTTAATTATCTGTAAAAGAACAAACTAAGCAAATAGGTGTAAAATGTAGATCCTGTGGTGAAAAAAGCTTCGTCACTGTTATTACTGCAGACAAATGGGAGCTAGTTCACAAAGCGGATGACAGCAGGAGACAACTGCTGTCATCGAAACGCACGCACGCACGCACGCACGCACGCAC